TCTGTCTCACACTGGTTCTGATAACCAGAGTCTTCTGGAAAGCAAGGAACGTTTTGCGGCAAGCAGGTGTAGGGATATTTTCTGGTTTGGTGCAAATTCACAACACTATCGTCCAGGTCTGTTGTACTAGCTGGGAAACGGTGGATTGACTCAAATTTTTCCCTAGTAAATGTTCCAGGGCATTAACTGGATTGCGCCAATGTCTGTGGAGACGTGGCCACAAGCTCTGCTGGCCGGTTCCTTCCCTCTGCCTCACTGGGTGGACATTGTTTCAAGCGTGCTCTGTCTGTAGCGGGCCCTGCAGAAGGACACGCTCGCCCTGCTCCTACTGACTTCATTTCAGGCTTTTCACTTCTAGAAAAGTAGTGATTTTATACTGAGACCTTACTTTGAGGTGTTAATAACTATGTTTAAATTTCTTTCTTCTCTTAAATTATATAGCTGATTGTACTTTTCTTATGATGGCAATTTCATTGTAAGGGTTTTACTTCTTTTTTACTGTATATGAAACTGAGCACTGAGGTGGCTGTTCAGAACCAAAAATTATTCTTGTAATTGCATCATAGTGTAAGAAAATAATCTTGTAAGAGCTTATTACCTCAGTTATTAATAATTAGGATTTACACGTTAAGTAATATGCTACAACTGTATCCAATTCCTTGGCAATTTCATGTGGAAAGTTGAGAGATAATTTTAGAAATAATCCTGTGTCTGAATTCTCTTTATAATTAATACATAAGTCTGTGAAATCCTAAGTGACAGCTGAACTAGCATTTTAGGTTATCCCTGTGGCTTTTCCTTGCGTGCTTTGGCTGTTTGAAGTTGGTGTGGCACTTGGAAGTTTCATCTCATTTGTAAGACATACATATGTGTCAATTTTAATTTTGTTGTGCTTTGCTGCATTTTATTCTTAGTAAGATTTTTGTTTTTCCTGGATTCCTCTGGCAGAAGAACTAAGACCTCTGAAGTTTATGTGCGTGTACACGTGGTTGGCAGTTCCTTATGTTTTCGTCTGTATTTTTTTCTGATTGTTTATTACCTACTGAACAGGCTTAGTATAAATATTTTTAATATCTTTAAAAAGATAATAGAGCACTTTTAATCTACTCTAATTTTTTTCTGATTCAGTGATATATGAACTCTTGCAAGTCTAGGGAGAACAATTAAAAGTCTAACGACTTTTTTTCTGGCCCTTCTCCCTCCAAGTTTAGCCAGGCGCTTGAGCGGGTGCCCATCTTTAAATAAGCAAGTTATTTTGTTGAGCTTGAGTTGGAAAATCTGCACTCTCTGAAGTTAGGCATGTGTTGATGCTCTGGAGTGACTTACAGCCCGTGGGAGGCTGCCTCTGGCCCCTTCTCCTCCGATTCTGTCCTCAGGCGTACGCTCGGACACCGGTTAGAGAGCCTTCGCCATATGGTTTGCCATCGAGTCTGATGACAGCCCTTCTCTTTGCTACAGTTCTCCTCTCTAATTAAATTCCTTCTTTCTAACAAACACGATCATCTTGGTAGGCATGGTGGTGTTGGGGTGACAGTTAGACTTGATGATCTTAAAGGTGTTTTGCAACCTATGATTCTATGATCACCTCAGCCTGCAAACTTCCTCAGTATCACTTCAAGATTCAGCATCTGCCAGGCAGAAACCTGGTGGGGTTTTGGTTAAAAAGACTGTCAGGGAAGGGACCCCCCCTGCTCCTGGCCACCACAGCCTCAGCCTGTGTGCTGCTTCTGCCCTCCGGGCAGAGCTCTCGCTGCTCGCTCAGGAACCGCCGGTGTCATGGATCCACAGCACAGGGCCAGCTCCGCACCCCCAAAGCTCTCCTGGGAACCCCCTGGCCCCACAGACATCCCCCACGGCGAGGCCTCTGCCGTGCCGGTTGCTGTTGGGTGCTGCAGGCCCAAGTCTCCACATCAAAGCCATTTGCATTACTCTCTTTCAGTTAAAATCTGTGGGGAAATCAGGCTGGCACCTTGCAGGTAATGAAAGGGAAGCACCTGCTAGGCTAGGTGTGAGGAGACGCACTCAGCCTAACAAAGCTTTGCTGCCCCAGCCACGGGGCTGCTTCCTGGAGCTCCCTGAGGTGTCAGTGACCTGAATGCTTCAGCACTGATTGGGGTGGCAGAAAGCCCCAGAGCGAAGGCTGAGATGAACAGGAATAGGTATGCGCCGCATGTCCTTCAGTGCCTTATTTTCCCATCTCCAGACCTCTGGATTGCAGTGCCCCGGGCTGCTTAGGCAGGGCCTGGACTCGAGTATCTTCAAGTATGCGAGGTATTTCTGTTCTGCCGATGCGGATCGGGTGCGTTACACAGGAACAGAAATCACACCAAGACTTGATCTTTCATGCACTTGAGGGAAGCCTGACAAAAATTTCAGTTTTGCAGTTCAGTGCTAGGAAAGCATTCTAAATTACATTTTACATGCACATCCAATGTGTCGTGGTTTAGCCCCAGCTGGCAACAAAGAACCACACGGTCGCTCTCTCACTCTTCCCCCGCCAGTGGGATGGGGAGGACAATCGGAAGGAAAAGGCAAAAACTCGTGCGTTGGGATAAAAACAGTTTAACAGAACAGCAAAGGGAGCAGAAAATAACAAGAACACTGATAAAAAGAATATACAGAGTGCAGTATTCTCACCGTGTGATGCCCAGCTCGCTCCTGAGCAGCGAATCACCCTGCTGCAGCCAGCTCCCCCACGTAAATACCGAGTGTGGCATCAGGTCGTGTCAAGTGTCCCAGGTGCTTTGGCTCAGCCCAGCCGGACTCCTGTGGAAATTAACCCTAGCCCAGCTGAACCCAGGACAAATGGGACATAGAATAGTGGGGCTAAATAAATAGTCATGCTAAATGCGCCATGTACTGTGACAAGACAGCTTTTAAAATGTAGGGATTGTTATTTTTTTCCAATGGAAGAGGAGACAAATTTTCATTGCAGAGCAGCGGACAGTGAAGCAGGGGCACATTGTAGTTATTATTAAGAAAAAGTGACCATGTTAATTATTCTGGGGACTCTGCAGCTGGGGCTCTCCCCTGCGTGGGCTGCGGGACTGCGCCCTGCGCCGGCACAGGAATGTGAAGGATGCTTTCTGTTTTGCTTTCTACAACCTACTCTGTTCTCCTTTTGTCTCTGTTGAAGTTACACAACGTACCAAAGCCACAGCTGAAGTTTCAACCTTTTCACAGACACAGGCGTTTCGCGGTGATGCCATACGCCAGGATCCGCAGTGGATTCGCGCTTTACATCTGGTTTTCTTGCCGAACAGCCGCCCCTCTCCCCAGCCTCCCCCC